GAGTCCACTTATACCTGGGGGCTGTGTCTACGCTGGCGCGATCTCACGCAAAAGCGGCCGCTCTTGTGCAAAAACTTGCTGCCTGTCTGCACTGGCCACGTGTTCTTGCGCAAGTAAACTGACGTTCTAATGTATGAAATCAGGGCTTCTTGCGCAAGAACTCTGATGCTCCCACTCAGGAAGAAGCCCTTTTGCGCAAGAGCTCTTCCAGAAGAGGCTGGTGTAGACAGGCAACATGAATTTCTTGTGCAAGAAAGCCCGATGGTTAAAACGACCATCAGAGCTTTCTTGCGCAAGAGAGCGTCTACACTGGCATGGATGCTCTTGCGCCAAAGCACATCTCTTGAGGAAAAGCACATGCCAGTGTAGACACTCTCTTCTGGAAGAGTTTCTGCAGAAGAACTCGTCCGCAAAAGAGTTTTTGTGCGAGATTGCGCCAGTGTAAACGCAGCCGGGGTGTCCAACCAGTCCTGAAGCAGTAACCACTAGAGAGGCTAACATGCTAGCGCGAACTAGCCACATTGTCCTGACAACGTAAATAATTGTGCTTGACTCCCTGAAAAATGCCACTTCTTGTCTTTTAATGTCAACAGAACACTCCAATATTGGTTTTAATCCGTGATTTCTGGCCTAAGCAGCATATTTCAGTTGTTCTGTGAACTGGTGGAAGTCTCCATCCAGCAGATGGGTCAAATGAATGGAAAGGGGCTTTTTGAACTCACGAAGATCTTCTGAACTTGTCTTTTTTTAATTCTCTCAACATTTTTGTTTTTTGACTCAAAAGAAATTTGAAGGCAACGATTTTTGAGTTTTCACTGGTCAAGCCAACTAGCCCCACTCAACTGGCCAAAAAGCCACACGTGGCTAGTAGTGAGTGTGTTGGACACCCTGGCTATGTCTACACTGGCGGGTTCTTGCGCCAGAAATATGCAAATGAGGCTAAGCGTGGAATATCGCCGAGCCTCATTTGCATCCCTAATGAGCCGCCATTTTTTTTTTGCAGAAAAGGCTCTTGCGCCAGAAGGAGCATCTACACGGCCCCTTCTTGCGTAAGAAAAGCCCTCTTGCGCAACGCCGCTACGCTGATTATTTTCAGGAAGAACGGCGTTGCTCAAGAAGGGTTTTCTTGCGCAAGAAAGGACAGTGTAGACAGCTCCTTCCGGCGCAAGAGCCTCTTCTGCAAAAACGGCAGCTCATTAGGTATGCAAATGAGGCTCGGCAATATTCCACGCTTAGCCTCATTTGCATATTTCTGGTGCCAAGGGGCTCTATAGCCTGGACTGAGGCCAGCTGGCTTTTGGCTCAAGCTGTAGCGGCTCCTCCACTAAGCTCCAGTGGTCCCAGGTTCAAATCCACCCGGAGGTGGGCATGTGTCCTGGAAAGGACTGTGGAGGAAAGATTGTGGAACGGGGCCTGGGGGCAGATCCTCAGATCCCTGGTCACCTGTCGCCCTGAGCTGCTTTGCACCAGTTTAGGGTCTGACATGGCAAGGGAATGGACTTGAACCCCACAAAGTGCGTCCCACCAGTTCTGTAGGTTGTTGTGTGGCACTGGTCCTAGTCAGTTTCACGCCCCCTTCCACACCTGCCTCTTGGGCAAACCCATGGGGCAGGAAAAGCCAGCTTTCCTCTCCCCGTGCCTGATACATGTCGGCCTGCGTGGAGATCAGAGCGTCACAGGATCCCCTGCGTTGCTCTTCCCGGGCTGGGGGCGCAGGTTTTAGAAAAAACCCCAACCTGGATGTAAAACCTGCCATGGTTTACCTGGGGCTTTGCCCTTGCAAATGTCTCCAAGGCTTCGTTACATTGGATGGCCGTAATTTACGCCTTTCTGTCTGGCTGCAGCTTCCAGCCGCTGGCTGGGGCCAGGTCTTTGTCTGCTGGGCCGAAGAGCCCGTTATCCGATATTTATTCCCCATGTCGGGCTGCTCTGTGCTCTGCTTCACAGACTGGGGCGGCCCCCGCCCGCCAATCAGGACTGCACGTCTCCTGCCTCTGGTGCTGGGTGCAGCCCGGATAGGCAGCAGCGCCTGATGGAAACGGGCCCTTCCCAGCCAGACACAGCGGGATAAGGGAAAGGGGCAGGAGGCAAACACACGTACACACATGCGTGCACACACACGCACTTACACATGCACACATGCCACGCGCACACGCTCGCGCAAGCATGCACACACACATCACGTCTCCTGCCTCTGGTGCTGGGTGCAGCCCGGATAGGCAGCAGCGCCTGATGGAAACGGGCCCTTCCCAGCCAGACACAGCGGGATAAGGGAAAGGGGCAGGAGGCAAACACACGTACACACATGCGTGCACACACACGCACTTACACATGCACACATGCCACGCGCACACGCTCGCGCAAGCATGCACACACACATGCGCAAGCGCAGGCCCACACACGCATACGCATTCACACATGCATGCGTGCTCACATGCACATGCACGCACACATGCACACACACATGCCTGTACACTCATGCACAAGCACACACATACATATGCACACCTGCATGCATGTGCATGCACAGGAAGAGCTACCTGTGCATTTTGGGGAAGGGGGGTGGGTAGATTTCACACTGAAATGCCAAACTCTGCCGGTCCTGGGCCTGGCCCTGCCCTGGTTTGGCCCTTCATCGTGGAACGCAGCCCATGGCAGAGCTCAGCTAATGCCGGTCTAGTCCGTCCTCTGGCTCAGTGCGGGGCTGTTCCCTCCCTGGGCCTCCCCCCAGCCCTCTCACTATGGGGCAGGGCTCCAGGCCCGGGGATTCCAGCAGGTCCCCTCTGGCCCGGTCCCCACGTGGCGGGCAGTGCATGGCGCGGGGGTAGGCGCTTCGCAGGTGAGCGCCCTGCAGCACCTGTTTCCTAGCTAAGCGAGACTTGGTCGTTCTAATCATACCTACCAGGCGATTCCGTAGTGTGTAGGGTAGCCGTTGTGCCCATGTTTGGGGTACATCCTGCTACTCGGGATGTGCTTGGTTAACAGTTCTGTGGCTGTCTCTGCTTTTTGCTTATTGGAAATAAAAAGTACCCGTACCAGGTTACTCCCAGGTCTCTTGGCACCATGACACTGTGCTCTGCGGTATATGCACGATTCCTGCCTCAAAGCTCGCCCAGCCTTGCCCACGAGCTCCAGGCTTCAACCTTTGTTTTGCTTTGTTAAAGATCCCAACTTTGGACAAGGCGGACGTTGTTTCGGTCAGGACAGGGCCATGCAGGCTCTCCTACAGGGAGGGAAACTGAGTCACAACATGTGACATAATGTTATTGCTCTCTGTAGACAGGGAGGGAAACCGAGTCACAACATGTGCTGTAGCCAAAGGGGAGTAGCATCAGCCTCCATAAATCACCCCTTTTATAGTCACGGCAACAGAGGTGCATCTCTCCAAGGTCCCGAGAGTCACCAATGTTATATTAAGCATTTGCTGTGTTTGTGTAATCATCACAGGGTGGATTTGAACCTGGGACCTCCAGAGCTTAATGATTCTAGCGTAGCGGTTCTCCAACTGGGCTGCGTGTATCTGGGGGAGGAGGGGCATGCAGAAGTCTTCCAGGGGTAGTTTTACAACAAGCACCAGCAAAGCCAACTAACATTTCACACCGACAACGACGTGTTTACACGGCTCTGTGTACTATACTCTGAAGGCTGCGTCTAGACGGCATCCCTTTTCCGTAAAAGGGATGCAAATTAGACACATCGCAATTGCAAATGAAGCGGGGATTTAAATCCCGCCCGCTTCATTTGCATAAACAAGAGGAATAAGGGATCTTTCGGAAAAGGCTTTATTTTCCGAAAGATCCCCGTCTAGACTTGCGGGGGACATGATAGTGGTTTTCAAATATCTAAAAGGGTGTCACAAGGAGGAAGGTGAAAATTTGTTCCTCTTGGTTTCTGAGGACAGGACATGGAGTAATGGGCTTAAAGTGCAGCAGGGGAGGTTTAGATTGGACATTAGGAAAAAATTCCTAACTGTCAGGGTGGTCAAATATTGGAATAAATTGCCAAGGGAGGTGGTGGAATCTCCCTCTCTGGAGATATTTAAGAACAGGTTAGATAGACATCTGTCAGGGATGGTGTAGACGGAGCTTGATCCTGCCTTGAGGGCGGGGGGCTGGACTCGATGACCTCTCGAGGTCCCTTCCAGTCCTATGATTCTATGATTCTATGATTCATTTGCAATTGTGATGTGTCTAATTTGCATCCCTTTTACGGAAAAGCCTGAAATGTAAGCACGATAGTTATCTGTCAATTGATTTATTTCATAACTAGCAGGCAAGGCCACTTTTGACCCGGCAATGTCATTTTGCGTAGATTACACTTATAGGAAAGTTCAAGAAATGAAATATATGTAACAGAAATGTGTTATTAATGTGCTTGCTAAAGGGAAGTAAAAGAGTCGCTTTCAACTGGTAGGATTTCAACTTCAAACATCATTCATTGTATTGACTAATTGCCACACGCAGTAAATTTGAATCAGAAACCCGTAAACTTCCGGAGCTAATCTGCATTATTTTGTGATTTGTCACCGTCACAATTTTCTTTGCACTAAAATGACAGTTGAGTAGGCGACTCCATGTTAATGTTGTGAGCAAATATTTTGATGAGCACGAAGCATAAGAGTCATGACTTTTTTCTGATGAAAAACAAAACCAGTGATTTAAACCTTTCACCCAGCATATTCCAGTGTAAACAGGAGTGCATGCAGCTCATTTAAGTGGCGGGATTGTCGATGCAGAATTTGCTATCTGTAGGTCAGTGGTCCCCAACCTTTTGGGGCTGCTGGGCGCCTGGGGGCGGGGCTGTGCATGCACTGGGCACCCAGGGGTGGGGCTGTGCATGAACTGGGCGCCCGAGCTCTGATTACTCGGCGGGCACACATAAATGCCCCAGCGGGCACCATGGCACCCGCGGACACCACGTTGGGGACCACTGCTGTCGGTGATGACGAAGTATGACTTTCTTTTGCACAGGCAAACCCACAAACAAACAAACTCTTCACAATGTATAATAGATTATATGGTTACAATGAGAACGCCAGCAATTTTGCAGTGCACTGGGACACATCTCCATTTGTGTCTGATTTTGTAAGCAAGCCATGTATGAGGGAGGTGAAACTTGAAGGTACCCCAGACAAATCAGGCTCCGAAAAGGCCCAGGATCACAGTAATCAGAAAAAGGGAAGCTTTTTAGAGACAGGACGATAGGATATTATTGGCATGTATTTGATGGAAGGAAAGAAAGTCTTATGGTTAAGGTCAGACCTGGAGATCTGGATTTAATACTTGCTACTTCCCTGGGGTGTTACTTTAGGCAGGTTGCATAACGTCTTGGTGCCTCAGTTTCTCCCTCTGTACAAAGAGGGTAATGCTATTTCCCTACTGCCCAGGGGAGTTGTGACAAAATCCATTCCTGACCACGAGGGGCTCTGTCCCTATGGTGACTGGGATCATATACAGGATACGTTTTTGACAAAGTAAAGTTTCAGATTCAAGTTTTCAGTGGATCCGTATAAACAGAAGGGAGGGAGGAAAAAAATATGAGAATCACTTAGATTAGCAAAGTGGGTTCTCAGCCTTCATGCTTCGTGGTGAGGAGGTGCACAGTAGCTGCGGTCAGGAAGAAATCGCCCCTGTGACAACGTCCTTGAGGCTGTAACAACACCGGCAGGTACAGTCAGCCCTGACGCCAGCTCAGCTCTGCCTCGGGAAGGGAATTTGCTGGGCTTGCATGTTAATTAAGTTTCCACCTGGCTCCTTTGCCGCTTGGCAGAGTTTGATGCCGGCCTGGATGGGGAGTGCTCAGCGCGCCCCAAGTCCGTGGGGAGCCAGGTGCCTCCTGGGGGGGTAGGTGGGGCCGGTTGCTGATGGCTTTGCCAAGCGTCTGGCTGTTCCCACCGTGACAGATCAGTGCTGCGCCAGGCAGCCTTTCACCCTGCGGCCTCCCCCTGGCAGCCCCGCTCCCCGGGGATCTAATACCTGCCTGGTGCGTATCACCTGAAACCGGCCTGGTATCAAGTTCTCCTCTGAGTGACATTCACGGCCATCCCAGCCGCCAGGGAGCTGCGCCAACCCGTGGGCGGCCACCGCGGCCCCAGACCAGAGGAGTGGCAAGACCTCAGGCTGGAAGGTGAGGGGGTTCAGGGGACACCGGGAGAGGAGGGGCCCTTGGCACCTTGCGGGGAGGAGGTGGAATATGCCCAGTTCTCTGCGGGGGAGGGACCCAGCCTCCTTGGCCGTGTCTTTGAGAGGGGAGAGAGCCAGGCCGGTGTGTTCACACCATCTCCTCTAGACTGCACTGCACCAGGGCCTAGGGGGAGAGCGGGGGGCAGGGGTGTCTGTGGTCCTCCCACCAGGACCTCAGGGATTAGCCCCATCATCAGCACTGAGACTAGGAACAGGAGCCAGGGTGTCTGGGCTCTTCCCCGAGCTCTGGGAGTGGAGGGGTTAGAGCAACGTGCTCAGATAGCTCTGTCCTGATATTTGGGGCTTTTTCTTGTATGTGCGCCTATTACCCAAACCATAGCCTGATATTTCACATTTGCTGAGAGCCGGGACAAGCTGGGAGTCAGGACTCCTGTGTTCTGGAAGGACAGTACTGTCCAGTGGTTGGAACAGGGGGACCGGGGACCAGGGCCCCTAGAATTGTATCCCCAACTCTGCCACCGAGGTGCTGCGTGACCTTGGGTGAGTCACCGGCCCTGACCAGAAAAGCCCTTCGGCGCATGGGTCCCTTTGGTCATGCCAGCCAAGTCAGCGGCGTGGGCTTCCTCTGACACCCACCCTCAGTTTCCCCACTTACCCAACAGGGATCACAAGCCCACGCGCTCTTTGGGAAGCACACCGCGATCTCGCATGTGCGCTCGGCCTTGTTCATAGGGTCAATCGGGTCCGATGTGTCCGGTCGAGCTCACTGCAGCGTGCTGTGACAAAACGCAGCCACGGTCTCCCGCCCTGGGGACGGCGGGAGGGTGGGGGGACCGTGGGAAGGGGCCTCCCGATGGGTGTCTGGCAGGGTTTGAGGGGATCCCAGCAACACACCACTGTCGCCCGCTGCCTTCGGACCCCAGCCCAGGGGTGCGGGAGCGGGAGCAGCCTGGCCTGGTTGGGCACCGGGGCCACCCAGGCAAAGCTGCCCACCCTCCCTCCCTGCCCACCCTAGAGGGGCACCAGGCCCGGGCAGGATCCCAGGAGACCTGCCTGGCCTCTGTGCAGGGACATTGGGCGACAGCTGGCCCTGACTGACAGCCACGCTGGCCTATGGGACCCGGGGGCCCGGCTGGGCCGGCCTATCCGTGGGGCCGGGTGGGAGGGGGGCGGTGCAGCCTCGCAGGTGAGGCGGCTGCAGAGCGGCAGGGAGCCAGGTGAGGGGGTGGCCGGGCAGGCAGGGCTCCGACCCTCCCCCCCCCGGCCCTTTACCTGTGTCATCTGCTGCCCCCTCGGCACCAGGGAGCCAGCTGGGCTCCAAGGGGGGGTCTCTCCAAGGCACAGAGCCCCCCCGATCCAGGGGGGCACGGTGGTGGCATTGGGTCCTGCACCGCCCACGCGTGTTTCCCCGGCTGCCGCCCTCCCCCCACGCCCCGGACCGCGTCACTCAGTGGCGGGGGGCGGGGGGACCAACACGTGGGGCAGGCTGGGTATAAACTAGAGCCTCCCGGCAAAGGCAACGGGGATGGCTGGGCTGGGTCTGCCTTCCCCCGTGTAAACCGGAGGGATTACCCTTCAGCCAGGCAGGGCGGGGCTAGATCTCACAGGGCAAGTGTAAATCCGGATTAACCTCAATGGAGTCCGGGGGCGGCCGTCGTCCAAAAAGCAAACCGAAGGGTAGGAATCATTAGAAAGGGCTAGAGCCTCCCGGCAAAGGCAACGGGGATGGCTGGGCTGGGTCTGCCTTCCCCCGTGTAAACCGGAGGGATTACCCTTCAGCCAGGCAGGGCGGGGCTAGATCTCACAGGGCAAGTGTAAATCCGGATTAACCTCAATGGAGTCCGGGGGCGGCCGTCGTCCAAAAAGCAAACCGAAGGGTAGGAATCATTAGAAAGGGCTAGAGAATAAGCCCGAGAACCTCTTCTTGCCGCTGTATAAAACCATGGGACGGCCACATCTGGAATCCTGCGCCCAGATGTGCTCGCCTCATCTCAGAAAAGATCTCTTGGCCTTGGGAAAGGTTCAGAAAAAGGCAACCGAAATGATTAGGGATTTGGAACAGGTCCCATATGAAGAGAGATTAAAAAGACTTGGACTTTTCAGCTTAGAAAAAAGGAGACTACCAGGTCTAGAAAATCAGGACAGGTGTGGAGAAAGGGACTAAGGAAAAGTTGTTTCATAGAATAAACATTAGGGATCACCCAATGAAACGGCTAGGCAGCAGGTTTAAAACAAACCAAAGGACGTTTTTCTTCACTCAGTACACAGCCAACCTGTGGAACTCCTCGCCAGAGGATGTGGTGAAGGCCAGGACTTTAACAAGGGTTCAAAAAAGAGCGAGATAGATTCCTGGAGGGTAGATCCATCAATGGTGATTAGCCAGGATGAGGAGGAATGGGGTCCCTACCCTCTGTGTGTCAGAGGGTGGGAATGGGTGACAGGGGAGGGGTCACTTAATGGTTCCTGGTTCTGTTCCCTCCCCCTGGGGCACCTGGCGTTGGCCACTGTGGGCAGACAGGACCCTGGGTCTGACCCAGCCTGGCGGGTCTGATGTTCCTGTGCCCGTTGCTGATGCCTGTTGTCTGTTGTTGCCCTGCCTGTAGGTGCGGTCCCGGCGTGTGGGCAGAGCTGTGGGGCTGAGGTTCCGGCTCACTTAATGGTTCCTGGTTCTGTTCCCTCCCCCTGGGGCACCTGGCGTTGGCCACTGTGGGCAGACAGGACCCTGGGTCTGACCCAGCCTGGCGGGTCTGATGTTCCTGTGCCCGTTGCTGATGCCTGTTGTCTGTTGTTGCCCTGCCTGTAGGTGCGGTCCCGGCGTGTGGGCAGAGCTGTGGGGCTGAGGTTCCGGCTTCCGGCGACGGCGCAGGCGGAGGAACGCCCCCCTCCCCGGGGGCCC